CGGCTCATGTTGAGCTTCTCATCAATCAATACCCCCAAGTCCTTCTCCTCAGGGCTGCTCTCGATCTGTTCTCCACCCACCCTGTAGTTGTGCTTGGGATTGCCCTGACCCACGTGCAGGACCTTGCACTTGGCCTTGTTGAACTTCATGCAGTTCGCACAGGCCCACCTCTGAGGCCTGTCAAGGTTGCTCTGAATGGCACTCCATCACACTGTCCATGTCGCTGACAAAGATGTTAAACAGCGCCGGTCCCATTACCAACCCCTGAGGAATGCCACTCATCACTGGTCTCCACTTGGACAGTGAGCCGTTCACCACAACTCTTTGAGTGCAGCCATCCAGTCAATTCCTTATCCACCGAGTGGTCCACCCATCAAATCCATGTCTCTCCAATTTAGAGACAAGGATGTCATGTGGAACAGTGTCAAATGCTTTGCACAAGTCTGGGTCAATAACATCAGTTGCTTTTCCCTTATCCTCCAACGCAGTAACCCTGTCATAGAAGCCACCAAGTTTGTCAGGCACGATTTGCCCTTAGTGAAACCATGTTGGCTGTCACCAGTCACCTCCTTATTTTCCACGTGCCTGAGCATAGTCTCCAGGAGGATCTGGCACAGAGGTGAGAGTGACTAGCCTTTGGTTCCCCAGGTCTTCCTTTTTTCCGATTTTAAAAATGGGGGTTATGTTTCCCCTTTTTCAGTCAGTGGGAACTTCACTGCACTGCCATGACTTCTCAAATATGATGGATAGTGGTTTAGCCACTTCATCCACCAGTTTCCTCAGGACCTGCAGATGCATCTCATCAGGCCCCATGGACTTGTGCACCTTCAGATTCCTTAGATGGTCTTGAACCTGATCTTCTCCTACAGTGGGCAGTTCTTCGTTCTTCCAGTTCTTGCCTTTGCCTTCTGCAACTCGGGCGGTGTGGCTAGGGCACTTGCTGGTGAAGGCTGAGGCAGAAAAGTGGTTGAGTACCTCGGCCTTCTCCCTGTCCTGGGTAACCAGGTCTCCTCTTTCCTTCTGGAGAATGCCCACGTTTTCCCTTGTCTTCCTTTTATCACTGATGTACCTATGGAAGCTTTTCTTGTTGCCCTTGATGTCCCTGGCCAGATTTAATTCTATCAGGGCTTTAGCTTTCCTAACCTGATCCCTAACTGCTCAGACAATTTCTCTGTACTCCTCCCAGGCTATCCTCCCTTGCTTCCAGCCTTTGTGGGCTTCCTTTTTATGTTTGATTTTGTCCAGGAGCTCCTTGTTCATCCATGTAGGCCTCTGGGTGTTTTTGCCTGCCGCCTTCTTTGTTGGGCTGCATAGCTCCTGAGTTTGGAGGAGGTGATCCTTGAATACTAGCCAGCTGTCTTGGGCCCCTCTTCCCTCCAGGGTTTTGTCCCTGGGTACTCTACCAAGCAAGTCCCTGAAGAGGCCAGATTCTGCTCTCCTGAAGTTCAGGGTAGTGAGCTTGCTGGGTGCCCTCTTCACTGCCCTGAGGATCTTGAACTCCACCATTTCATGGTCACTGCAGCCAAGGCTGCCCTTGAGCTTCACATTCCCCACCAGCCCCTGCTTGTTGGTGAGAACAAGGTCGAGTATGACACCTCTCCTTGTTAGCTCCTCTGCCACTTGGAGAAGGAAGTTACCATCAACCAGCAGGTCAAGGGAGGTGATTCTGCCCCTCTACTCTGCTCTCGTGAGACCCCACCTGGAGTACTGTGTCCAGCTCTGGGGCCTGGATCTGTTGGAGCAAGTCCAGAGGAGGGCTGCAATGATGATCAGAGGGCTGGAGCACCCCTCCTGCTAAGACAGGCTGAGAGAGTTGGGGTTGTTCAGCCTGGAGGCTCTGGGGAGACCTTACAGCAGCCTTCCAGTACCTGAAGGGAGCCTACAAGAAAGCTGGAGAGGGACTGGTTACAAGGGCATGGAGTGACAGGACAAGGGGCGATGGCGTTAAGCTGAAGCAGGGGACATTTAGATTAGATATTAGGAAGAAATTCTTTACTGTGAGGGTGGCGAGGCACTAGAACAGGTTGCCCAGAGAGGTTGTGGCTGCCCCCTCCCTGGAAGTGTTCAAGGCCAGGTTGGATGGGGCTTTGGGCAACCTGGGCTAGTGGAGGGTGTCCCTGCCCAATGCAGGGGGATTGGAACTAGATGGTCTTTAACGTCCCTTCCAACCCAAACCATTCTGTAACTTTATGATTAAAGCTAGGTTCTTTCTGTATAGACTTTAAAAATATGTATTTCCTGAGTACATAAGGGGCAGCATTTTTGCAATGTCAGTTTTAAATATAAGCTGGCTTTTTGGCTTTGCCTGCCAGTTGATTATTGAAATATCTTGAATGGGTGGTCAGCTTTATTAGCCTGGTTTACCTATCTACATGGGGAAATTTCTATTTTTTTGTAATCAAATGCCCAGTGCTTTCAAATGTTTGACATCAGAGATGCATCACTGCATCAGTATTTCTGCAAGTCATGAACAATTTAGCTGAGGATTAGAATCCATGAGAGTTCACTAGCATTAGCCTGTATGGCGATAGGGCTTACTTGTCCAACCACGTTACTAGGTATTTTCTTGCACAGTCTTTGGGGCTTCTATTTTACTGCATTGTGTGGAGCAGTTCATGCAACAACATTCCTACAAGATAATTATTCAGCAGTATGAGTGCTTTTGATCTAACCACTCCCTCTTCATCTGTTCACACAGGCCATGTTCTGCTTTGTGCAACCCTCTGTCCTGTTCCCCAGCACCAGAATCTGTCTTCAGCATTGCATCTCTGAGTTGCACTGGAGGGAAACCTCCTTTGAGCCTGGTGGGGTCCAAGTCACCTTTCCCCTTCCTCACTGCCCTCCTATTTCTCATCAATAGCATCACTCACATTCACAAAGGATTGACCAGCAAGGTGAGAATAGACTTTTTCCCTGTAAGTTCCGGGTGAATGATGACTTGTGAAGGGGGTTAGTATTATATCTTGCCAGGCTTAAGAGTGATGTCAGTAGGACTGTTAAAAAGGAATTGTTGCATATTTTTATTCTAAAAATATCAAAGTACTGTAGAGAGAAATACTCCCATATTCAGAACAGGTAGGATGAGGATCTGAAAAATATCTTCTGTCTTTGAATTCCAATATCCAGTTGACACTGGGAAGCTGGAATTATAGAGCAGGTGATGAATGATGATGCTTAAAGGATGGATTTATAAAGAATGTTGAGAAGGGTTAAATAGTTGTTGTATGGCTCAGCAAAATAAATAATTGGTGTCAGAAGAGGAAAGGGATGGTTGAAGCATATGTAACAAAGAAAAATGGGGTAAAATTAAACAAGGGAATGAGTGCTATAGTGACTGAAGAGGTTTCTTCCCACTTCTGGTTGTCCTGAATTTTTAGCATGAGAGTGTTATGGAGGATTGCAAACTCTGAAGAGGAAATGTCAGAGTGTTAGAGAGAATGGAATACCTAGCATAAGCTTTCTCAAAGTCTTGCTCTGTCGCCTTATGTTGAATTAGCTGACCAGTTACTAATAGGAATATCTGGCCAGATGAGAGAAAAAAAAGTCTTAAGCTGCTGGCCAGACTTCCACCTTATAAAGCGCTATGGAAAATATAGGTAGTGACTATTGGTTACCTCTGGTGAGGATGATCATGATGGATGCAGGTGAGCCCTGAGGCAGAAAAGCAGATATTTATCAGGCTATTTTTAAATATCACTTTCAGAGTAGCCAGCAGGAACTCTCATGTGAGAAAGTAGGGGATAAGCCTTGGAGAGGGCTACGTTTTATTTTCCTGCAAGCACAAACTGTCTTAGTAGTATTTGTCTCCACTTCTGATTCTTTTACAGTACAGCTCTGTGCTGGGCTTCAGAGGCTTGAAGGATTATCTGCATCAAAGCTGGCAGACGGGACCTCCCTCTGTAACTCCCTCATCTGCGTGGATCCTGCGCCATGAATATCATCTGCAGTACTTTGTGTTGGCATTGGCTCGGAGAATGGTATCATTATTAGTCCTTTCATTCTTTCATCAGAGTAATTGACTTCACTCTGGCCTCTCTGACTCAGTCTGTCAGACTTGCAACTGGTCTTTGCTTCTGTGTTCTTTCTTATATCTGACTTAGGTCTGGTGACTCTTCAGCTGTCTTTTATGCCCCACTAGCAAATAATATCTTTACAATTACTGATGTGGGGATTTAGATCCAAAATGGACGACAAAGTTATATTTTTGCCTCTCTTTGGGCTAGAGTGGGAGCAAAGTTTTCAAGTGTGCTGCTAAAAAAGATGTCTATCTAAGACAATCAGGGGAAGCAGAAAGATCTCGGCTGACAGTTCTTGCAGTCTGCCTCAGCCTCTCACTTTCCAGTGAGATTTATTTCTCTGTTGACCCTCCTGTCCTTGTTGATGGCCTTGTTGACAAATGATATAGTGCTTTTATCTCTTGTTTTGTTTCCTGTACAGGCAAGCACTTGTCCGGATTATGCCCAGCATGCCTCACTCTATCACTGTGTTGCCATGGCATTGCTAAGCCGTCTGTTGCCAGGGAGTGAGCATCTGGCTTACGAGGTCTTACTGGATCTTGCCTTTAATCCAGAATTTCTTCCGTAAGCTGTGCATTTTTTCCTTTCTGTAGTCTGGTACGTGGGAAAACTTGGGAAAATTGAAAAAGCACATGTTGGCATTGCAATTTTGTCATTATTTTTGGCCTTTAATAGGGCCTGTATTCAAATTTTAATTACTGATTGGCATATTCTCCAGTCACAGAGCCTTCTAATCAGACCAGCAGTGTGGTTGCAAATTTCTTTCCAATGTGCCAATGTTGAGAAACGTGACCAGTTTCTTTTGATCTCCTCTGTGGCAAGAGTCCTGATAGAAATGATTCTCACTAAGGCCCAGCATCTGCTGTCCTGAGAGTAGTGAGCCTAGAAAATACATGGGAATTTGACACAGCTTGAAAAGCTTATTAAATCTTCCTTGAACCCTTATTATGCAAGTTCTTACACAAATTTTTGCTGATTTGACAACTCTGATGTCTTCCACCTTGCACTGGAAGAAATCACAAGCATCTCAAATGTGAAGCTTCTCATGTCTGACCAAGAAAATGGTAGCAGTTTAGCTTGTTCATCACAATCTCTTTGAAATTTGCCATGGTGCATCCCTGTAGGAGATTGGACCTAGGTGCTGCAAGGAGATACTATAGTTTTTGTGAAAGAAGGGAAGTTTGTGGGTGGGTTGGTTTGTTTGTGTGTTGTGGTTTTTCTGGTTTGTTTGTGGGGTTTTTGTTTGCTTGTTTTTGACAAATACCTGCTATAGAGCTACCATTTTGTGAGAATTATGTGAGAAGTAATCTGAGTCAGTCTCTGGTCTGAGATCATGGCACAGGGATTTGACAAACGCACGTGCGCACACCCCGCGCCCCCCC